CACCCCCAAGACATGTGGAGCTGTGAGATCACCCCTCCCCCCCCCACCATGGGTAATGGAGGGTTCCAAGGGGGATACCCCTCCCCCCCACACTGGGATATGGAAAGGTCTAAGTGGGCACCCCCCCCCGAGTGTGCTTCAGTAAAAACAATGTGCCTGGCTATTCCATGGTCCAGTACCACCACGCAGTTTTAAAACAGCTTCCCTGCGCTGACTGAAGATCTCGTGTTGCTAAATCAACTGTTCGGCTGTCAGTTTCTCACCACTAGGACCAGCTCAGTGCAGCTTCAGACATCACCTTCCATTTTTCTGTTCCAGCGGTGAGCACATAACTAATCAACCGAAGCAATTATCTCGCCTAACTGGAGCATCAGTCGAGGTCCTAAGCAGGTAAAAGTTAAAAACGGAGCCTCCAGGCCTGGAGGGGTACAGGATATCTTGGTTGCCATTCAACTCCTGATCCCCGTTAACGTCTTTGGGCCAATTCTTTGAAGAGGAAGTCAGATCACCTGTTTTTTTTTTTGTTTTTTTTTAAGGATGGACTTATTCAGTTGCTAATTGAAAGGTTAAGCTGTAAACCAGCAGGACTCCGGCCTTTGTGAGGAGCAGAACTGGTCTCTCCCGGTTGAGACAATTATTTTTCAAATACCCGTTCTGAAAAGAAGTTTCCACCCACAGAGAGGAATTCACAGCGGGGTGTGACACATTCACACCTCGGAGGAGCAGTGGAGTTTGTCTGTCTGTCTGAAGTCTCCAACTGATTTCATTCGGTTTGTTCCCTTCCTGTACTGTAAACCCATTCCTCGTGTGTAGATTTCTCACAGTCAGGAATTATTTCACTGAGGACATCCTACAGGACACAGACGCTCTCCAAACCACATTCTTCTTCTTGCGTCCTCTTTGGTCTTTGCAACATTTATTAATCTGTAAAATCTACTCCCTCTATTAAATTAACCCCAGGGTCTCACCCCGCCATTTTGTGAAAGAAGCCAGGTAGGCGATGGGCTTCAGCAACGTGGCTGGGCAGCCTGTTCCATGCTCCCACTACTCTGTGGGTAAAGGGTGCCTCCCGGTCTTGGTTTTAAATGCACTTCTGTGTCATTTGCACTTGTGTCCATTGGTGTTTGTTTCACGGTTCATCCTGAAGAGGTCCGCTGTGCTGAATCAGGTCCCCTCACAGCCTGTCAGCCTCAGTCCTACCAGCCTGTTGGTGCAGGATATTCCCTTAAACTCAGGAAGGTATCATGTTCTAAATGAGATCTTCCCAGTGCATAGTAACATTTTAACATCACATCCCTTGATTTAAATTGTACTCTTTTTACTATAGATTCATATATAACATCTTCAGAACTGGGTTTATCATTTTGTACGTGGAGTTTGTTTTTATACCTGAATGTAACACAACTGCACGTTGTGCCTGAATTCGCTGGTTTTCATTCCAGCTGAGCCCTTAGTCACAAGTGTTAATTGGTACCTGTAGCTGATCTGTTTCCTTGTTAGATTTTTTTACAGTAAGGCCTTGGTTTCAGGAACACCCCAGTTAATTCCAGCAAATCCCAGACAAAGAACTTTATACAGTCTCTTAGGAACTTATTTTTAACTTAAAAGATCTTAATAGCTACCCAGACTGCTATGGGCATGTGCGTATTTTTCCTTCTTCTTCATTTCAGCTGGTCTGAAAGTTCCTAATTATAAAGGCCTCAAATAAAAAAAAAACAACCTGAAGTCTGTGGCTGTGATTACAAACATGACTGAAGTAAAAAAACAGAAGACACAGAGTTGGAGACTGTGGGGAGACACAGAGCTGGGAACACTAAATGAGGATGTAATTATCAATGATGGTGATGTCTCAGGTCTTATTGGTATGCACTGCTCTTGGGTATTGCAAGGTTGATGACATCTGACAGAAGGAAAACATTCAGGATTTGAGCAAGATATCAGCAGTGTAAACAAAGAAGTAAGCTATATTCTCTATTCAGTTTATTTTTATTGATAAAGTATTATTTACATACTGCGAAACAGCGAAACAGTTACCGACACGCTGAGAGGCAGGTGCTGGAACTTCTGCTCGCTGTGGAGTGTTGGGGTGGGAGCAGGGCGTTGAGCGGAGTGACGTCACCGTGTGACGCCGGCAGGCCTGCCGGGGGCGTGGCCTTTGCTGTCAGTAGATGGAGGTATGCTCAGACTCCACCTAGTGACGGCTTTAAAAAGCCGCTGCAGCGTATTGTAAAGATTTTCGAAAGGAAACAATCAAACTATTCATTCGACCTCCCCGAAAAGACGTTTACCAATTCCACGTTTCACGAGTAAAACTGTGGTTAATTTAATTTTCACCTAAGAACATACTGATTGGTCTTTTTTTTTGCCATTTAAGTA